GGGCTGGCTGGGGCTGGGGCTGGGGCTGGGACTGGGACTGGCTAACATTTTGCGGTTCGCGGCAAATTTTGCCTCGAACCACCGCTCGAGGCTAACATTTCGCGGCTGGAGGCTAACATTTCGCGGTTCGAGGCAAATTTTGCCTCATTTCGCCGTTCGACGCAAATTTTGCGAACCACGGCTCGAAGCTAACATTTCGCGGCTGGAGGCTAAAATTTCGTGGTTCGAGGCAAATTTTGCCTGGAACCACGGCTCGAGGCTAACATTTCGCGGCTGGAGGCTAACATTTCGCGGTTCGAGGCAAATTTTGCCTCGAACCACGGCTCGAGGCTAACATTTCGCGGCTGGAGGCAACATTTCGCGGTTCGAGGCAAATTTTGCTTCATTTCACGCGCTTCGAGGCAAATTTTGCCTCGAAACACGGCTCGAGGCTAACATTTCGCGGCTGGAAGCTAACATTTCGCGGTTCGAGGCAAATTTTGCCTCGAACCACGAAGGATTTGCCTCGAACCACGAAGGCAGCTGAAGCTGAGCTGGGGCTGGGGCTGGGGCTGGGGCTAGGATTTGACCACGAAGAATTTGCTGCGAACCACAAGATTTTGCCTCGAACCACGAAGAATTTGCCTCGAACCACGAAGGATTTGCCTCGAACCGCGAAGGAATGTTAGGCAAACTTGCCTCGACCACGAAATGTTAGCCTCGAACCACGAAATGTTAGCCTCGAACCACGAAATGTTAGCCTCGAACCACGAAGCAAATTTGCCACGAACCACGAAGGATTTGCCTCGAACCACGAAATGTTAGGCAAACTTGCCTGGACCACGAAATGTTAGCCTCGAACCACGAAATGTTAGCCCCGAACCACGAAATGTTAGCCTCGAGCCACGAAATGTTAGCCTCGAGCCACGAAATGTTAGCCTCGAGCCACGAAGTCATTAGGGTTTATATTACTATATGAAAGAGAGGTTTAGGGCTTACGGTTTAGCTACGGATGCCCAAATACCCTTCCCAGGCTCCATTCCTCTGTGCGCCAACCGGCCCCTTATGTAAGCTAAAGCCGGAAGCACCTCTGACTCACTGACGCTACACCCCAGAGCCGTAAGAACCCGTAGATCCTCAGGCCCCAACACCCCAAAGCCCTATGAACCCGTAGATCCTCAGGCCCCAACACCCCAAAGCCCTAAGAACCCGTAGATCCTCAGGCCCCAACTACAAGTACAAGGCTTCAAGCCCTCAACTCAACCTCAAACCTTGTGTTGAAAGTGATCCGAGCAAGGGTCCGTAACGACTCGAGACCGAGATCGGGAAGGGCTCGATGCCTGGCGGCAGGTCGGGGGGCATATGCGACCCTGTTCTATCTAACAAGGTTGCGAGGTCGGGTTGGGGGCAAGATCCAGTCCGGAAGGGAGAACTGCCCATAAATAAACGAGGGTTGATGCGAGGGTGGCGAGCTGGCAACCGAACAGCGCGAATTAGTCCCGGCTCCAGGAACGGGTCCGTAACTTCTTGTCTGCAAAATGCTCGGCAGCCCGCTTATCCCAATGAGTTTAGCCCCAGGCCCCTAAAAAAGGTACAGGAGGGGACACATCAGCTCCCCACTGATAGACTCAATGAGTCTCACTGCCCTTCCCGCAAGCCCTAAGCCCAAGTTTACCCCGAACGCGAAATCACGCAACAAAAAGCCTCCAAAGCGTTGTAAGTGGTCGAGCCTGAACCCGACTCGAAACACCTGTCGAAGCGATGACGGGCGGTCCGAAACTGTCGAAGACATCAGCTGCGAGGCACCAGGGACTACGGAGGAAATTGCATTGTTATTATCATTATTGTCATTATGGCTATTATGGTTGGGATTCAGAGTTTCAGTCTGGTGCTCGAGGGCAGTGGGATCGAATTAACTGGCGCTCACATGGTGTGCTTGTGACCATGCTCAGGCGCCTTCGAACAAACAAGCATTTAAAACCCATGGAAGATGGCAGGCGAAAACAAAGTTGCTTCTGCTTGCACTACTGCTTGCTTGCTTCCTACATCTAGCGCCTCTAGCGCTTTTCAAAAAGGTGTTGGCCTTGTTGCCTTGAGAGACGGGTGCAGTCCTCGAGATCCCACTCCCAACTTGGTGAATCCCAGATGTCTCGTATGAACTGTTTCTCCTGAAGCGTGGCTCTTGAAAGAGCATCGACAGCCTTTTCGTCCTGTTGCCTCATCCAGTGACCTGCTTTGACAATACAGCCCACGCCAAAGTCGATCGCTTTGTCGTGTCCATAGTCCTTCATGACACTGCCAAGATCAGCCGACGGAGACGAGGGCGAGATAAGCATGACGCACATCAATCCGATGATGGCCAGGCTGAGGAGTGGGCGGCGGAACATCTTGCGCTGTGAGGTGCAGCGGTGCACTGCTAGTTGGGCAACTGAACCGAAAATCTGCGCAGAAGGCCATCTTTCTGCAGCCTTATAATACCCTATGCCATTCTAAACCCTAAACCATCCCAAACCCTAAACCATCCTAAACCTCTAAACCCTAAACCATCCCAAACCCTAAGCCATCCTAAACCTCTAAACCCTAAACCCTAAACCATCCTAAACCTCTAAACCCTAAACCCTAAACCATCCCAAACCCTAAACCATCCTACACCCCAAACCCTATAAACCCTAAAGGAAGACCCTGGGCTGCTGGCTGCGCAAGGGGCGTGGAAGCCCTGAAGCAACGTACATTGAAATCCTAGACTTTACGGCTTTTAGGGTTTAGGGTTTAGGGTTTAGGGTTTAGGGTTTAGGGTTTAGGATGCCTGAGGATGAAGTGGTACTTGAGGGGGTGCGGAGGGAGTTCTTATCGACGGCATCTTGCAGTCTTCATTTAGGGCTAAGGGTTTTCCTAAACCCTAAACCCCAACTGAAGCAGACACAACTGAATTTACAGAAACGATAAAACAAGCGAAGGAAGAACCAGTGACTACTGTTGGTTACAGTGCTTCAGATGACTACTGTAAGGTTCATTGTTGATGAGTCGGAAGAAGACAAATGCAGTCTTCCTGCCGGCACCTCCCAACTCGGTAGGTCTGGCGCTTGAGGCCACCCCGGCCAGGAAACACCTGCGCGCTTTGTTCATATGGGGGTCCTTGATAATTCGAACAGGGTTCTTTTACAGGGTTCCTCTAAGGGATACTATAAGGGTACGATAAGGGTTTAATATAGGGGCCCTGATCGTCGGAGTAGGGTAATATAGTGACCGTGAAAAATGAATTCGGACAACAGAGAGGCTTTGAAAATAAGAACAAGGTTTACGGTTTTGGGGGGTATATTGTGCGATAAGGGTAATAAGGAACCCCAAAAAGGGTATCGGTAATCATTGAGGCCCCATATTAGCAACATGAACACAACTTTGGCACTCGAGCAGATGTCGGAGCGATTGTATTTGGTAAAGTGTACGAACCTTGTGGCTGGCTTCACTGCGCAGGAAAGATCTGGAGGCGATGATGATTGCAATCTTAGTCTGCAGGAATGGAACATTTTTGGCCCGGACCTGTGCTAGAACAAGCAAGTCAGGTAGCGAAGAGTAGTACAATTGAGGGCCCGAGTACGTAAGACCCTGTTTATCGGATGCCATAATCACCATAATCGGCGCTTCCGAGTTTATGTCATGTCTGCCAACTGCAACAGCCTCAGAGGCCCTGAACTTAGGCCCTGAGCACGGAGCCGCTCCAGCCCGATGCAACCCCATCCCCTGAAACCTCCGAAGCTTGGGGGAGATATCCTGAAATCCATCAAGCCGAAAGCCACTCCGCACCCGAACCCGGAACGTCTAAAGGTCCCTTCCGGCAGATTCAAGGATCACAGGAAGGGCCCGCCAGTTGCAACGTGTAAGCGTAGGCGCTTACGGTCTCGGGCTTTAGGAATCTGCGGTGAGGGTTCAGGGTTGCAGGAGGCCCGGCCAGAGTTAACTGCTTTCTCGCTTCAGTACCTCGAAGACCCCAATTGGGAACGAGCCCCTAAAGACCAAACCCTAAGAACCTTCAACCGCCCAAATTCAATTCATCGTGTCTGTTCTGATTCTTGTTGGCTTGGTTGCACAGCAGGCTGCTTTCAGGTTTCGTGATGTCTCGGGCTTCAGGTAGGTGCCCTGCACTCTGAACATTGCTGAACCAACATCCGCAGACCTAAATCCCAAACCCCAGACCCCTGAACCCAAAACCTAAATCCTAAACCTTTAAACCCTAAACCTTTAAACCCAAAACCCAAAACCGCAGACCCTTGAACCCAAAACCCTGGACCTCAAAGTTTTCAGCGCCCAGCGAAGCCTCTTTGGTTCAACCCATCGGCCGCAGCTGTTGAGTTCGGGCCCGTCGCTGGGGCCTGCCAGGCCGAGTCGTCCCTGATCTTAAGCGTTTGAGGGTTTAGGGTTTAGGGTTTAGGGTTTAGGGTTTAGGCCTTTAGGGTTTTAGGGTTTAGGGTCTTGCGGCTTTAGGGCTTGAGGGTTTAGGCTTCCAACATTGTGGGGTTCGGGGTTGATGGTTTTGGATTTAAGGTTTGCAATGGGGGCTTTCCTGTTTTGAACTGAAGGTCAATCCTTTATAGACTTATGGGGTCTTGGCTTACTTGCGTCTATACCTATCTGAACCTTTACAGAGCTGGGGGTTCAGGCTCCATGAGTGTCTATCTATCTGTCTGTGTCTGCGTGTGTAGCGATATGCACTGCATACTTCAGTCGGTAGCTGTATGTGCTCCTGTCTGTCTGCATGCGCAGGTGTCTGGTGACTGAAAAGAACAATATAATATGAGTGTGTGAGTCAGTCTGTCTTTGTCTCTCTGTATGTAATTGTGAGGCCTCTAGCACAAGAAAGTTCGCTGGCACGCCTGTATCCTAAGATCCTACAAGCCCTATCTCCTACACGCCTACCCCGAGACCCCCATCAAACCCAGGCAGACCCTCATGCGTTCCTGAAAACCCTCCAAACTTCAGGCGAGCAGAAGTACCTAAACCCTAAACCTCAGACAAATACAAAGTGCGAAGCCAAAAGAATTACAGCCCCCGAACCCTCAACCTGGTACCCGAGCTCCTCAGGTGCTAAACTCTTACACCGGAAGCCTTGCACCCTTAACAAACAAGTCCTTAACAAAAATCTCTCCGACCCGCCTCTACCCCAAAAAAACAAAAAAACGCTAAACCCTAAACCCTAAACCCTAAATCAATAAAGGCCTCCTCCACCTTTGCTTTTGAGCCCTCGCTGGGCTTTCCCGGCTCGGCTGCTGCGGAGGAGCCGAAGCCCGGGTCGCTGCGCAAGGCCTGCTCCAATGCCAGCCTGAGGATTTAGGGCTTCAGGTTCAGGGTTCAGATTGTTTAGGGTTTAGGGTTTAGGTTCAGGGTTTAGGGTTTAGGGTTCAGGGTTTAGGGTTCGGTTTAGGGTTCAGAGTTCAGGTTTAGGGTTTAGGGTTTGGGGTTCAGGGTTTCGGGTTGGGGATTCGGGGTTTACGGTGGGGCAAAATAAGGCTCCTATTTTTAAGAACAGGGTTTTGGGGCTCATTATACTATACTTATAACAAAAGGACCCCCAAGATAGTATTGGTAATTATTCAGGCTCCTACATGAACAAAGGGTCCTGAGGCACTCTGTGAAAAGGATCCCATGAGGATTCTCGATCAAGGCTCCAAGAAGCATCCTATAAGAGTCCTACTTAGGGGCTGAGTACCCTAGCCCAAAAAAAGGTTAACCTTTTCAATGATGGTAGGATGGTAGGATTATATAAACCCCAAAAGGTTGTATAAAGGTTACCTACCCAGCTACTAAGCCTATAATAAAGGATGCAAGGGTTCTATCAGGGCGTTCAGGGTTTGGCGCTCACTCTGGGCATTTAGTTGGTTATCGGTTTCGAAGGCCTTGGGGTTTGTAGGGTTAGGGCTTGTCCGGCTCGCTTTAAGGAGGGCTTTGGGTTTAGGCTTTAGGGTTCTCTCGTTCTCTTCTTGGGTACGAAGCAAACTCAAAGAACCTTGGAAGAACCGATCCCCGCTTCAAACCACCAGGACAAAAACCACATCAACCCTTACTCCACTGAACCCCGAACCACACCCTAAACCCTAAACCCTAAACCCTAAACCCTAAACCCTAAACCCTAAACCCTAAACCGTGAACCCTCAGAATCCTAAGAACCCCCCCCCCAATGCCGGTTCAAACACGGAGTCCCCCCCCCCCCTTCGCAAAAGAAACCGAGAGGTGCTTTACTGTCTTTACTCACACCGACAAAGCTAAGACTCCGAAGAAACCCAACGCAGGCACATCAAAGTCCTCTAAACTCGACCAACACCACCGCCGATAATATATGTCTATAAGCTCCCTAAGTTTCTGAAGAGGCCACAAACCCTTAAACCCCTACGCCCATAAAATCTTAAACCCTAATGCCCCCCCCACAGCAACGCCTCGCTGACTGCAGTCGATCGAGAGTCGGCCCCAGCCCCTCTAGGCAGGCAGCCTGGTAAGATAGGGGCCTTCATATCGGGATTAGGGCTTCGGGATAGGATATTCTGGTATCCTTATTAGGGCCGCAGTACTTCAAACAGGATCTTGCGGCACATAAGAATCTACTAGGACATTGTTGTATACCACTGATTCAATCTCCGACTGCTCTGGGTGCAATGTCTATAGGGCTCACGGGTTGAAGGATGTCTTCTCAGGGAGTGTTTCCCTAAACTTAGAAGGACCGTTCCGCTGGGGGCGGCCCAAACAGCCCATTGAAAAAAAGTGGTAAGTAAATGTAAACACAAGGTCAAAAAGTGAAATAAAGCTACAACAAGGTGAAACAAAAAGGTAGCGAACAGGCAAAACCAAGGTGGGAAAAAAAAAAGTGAAGACCAGGCGCAGGCCACGTGACTCGGATTCTGCTGCACTCCCACACCCGCCCACCAGCCGGGGCAGGCGGGCGGGCTGGCAGGCGAGCGTCCCTATCATCTTCCTTTACAAAAAGCGTACAAGAGGTGTAAGCAAAGGTGAAACATGTAAAACAGTTGTAGACACCACAAGTGGATCAAAGGTAAAGGCCAAGCAAAGGACAGGTGTGTGGGAAATCCTGGATCACCCGGCCTGCGCGTGGTCTTTACGTTCTTTTCACATGTTTTGCACTGCTTGCGCCTTTTCTAAAGGGCCCCGGCTGGTGGGCGGGAGTGGGAGTGCGGGAAAATCCGAGTAACGTGGCCTGCGCCTGGTCTTCACCTTTTTCCCACCTTGGTTTTACCTGCTCGCTACCTTTTTGTTGCTCCATCTGGTTCTGTTTTAACTTGTTCTTTACATGTTTCTATCTTTTCTTCACCTTATAACTTCACCTTTGTGTTACCTTTTATTTCCCGTCTATTCTGCCCTTTATTCAACCTGACGTCTGCCATGTCTCCATGGATCGGACCTCCTAAGCCTAAATCCTAAGCCTGAAACTCCAGACCCTAAGCCCTGATCCAAACCCTAAGCGCGAAACCCTGATCCTAAAACCCTAAATCTTGATCCTAAAACCCTAAACCCGAAACCGAAAACCCTAAACGCGAAACCCAGATCCGTGAAGTGGTTCAGAGCTTCGGGCTTTGCATTCGCTGGGTCTTCGCCGGATTTTGAGACAAGAAAAGCTTAAAAGCGGCCCAGAGTTGAGGGCTTCGGGATTGAGGCTCAGGCTTCCGGGGGTCAGAGTTCAGGGCATATCAGGTTCAGGGCTTAGGGTTTAGGGTTTAGGGTATACCAGGTTCCGGGTTTCTGCGTGGATTTAGAATTTGGGGATCAAGGTTGAGAGCCGTTCAAGCTTTCTGCCGGAGAGTTACAAAACCGAAACGGCCTAGGGTTTAGGGTTTAGGGTTTAGGTGTCGTCCCCATCACAACTACCACAGAAGTAGCTGCGAAGCACCACGCTGGCTTTCCTGAGCCACACTGAGAACATCCAAGACTACCCAACGATTCCAAGCTAAGGTAAGTTCAAAGTTGCCCCGGGAAGCGTGACCGCAGCGACGCGAAAAGAAGTCTACAAACCGGAACACAAACATCTACGAAAAAACACGCAAACTCGGCAGCACCCTCAAAACCAAGTTCCCGGCACTCTAAACATCCCAAACTATTCCGCAAGCCTAAACCCTAAACCCTAAACCCTAAACCCTAATCCCGAAACCCTAAACCCTAAACCCTCAACCCTAATCCCGAACCCCTAAACCCTATATAATTAGAGTCCGAAAGCCCAAGACGCCACGTAACTCCTGGATCTGACATCATCCCGACTCTGCCAAAGAGCCTTCGCCCCGCAAAGAGACACCAGGGCGAGTCCCAAAACACCTGAACATTACTTCTAGTCTTGGGCTTAGGGTTTAGGGTTGAGGGTTCAGGGTTTAGGGTCTATTCTTCTATTCTATAGTATATTGGTATTGCTATGATGATTGTAACTGTTATAGTCGAGGGCTCTGGAGCACGGCGTGCTCAGGGTTTGAAGCGTAAGGGTCTTTTCAGAGTATCTTCTGCCAACTCGTCCATTCTTCAAGCGGGCCCTGTCGAATGGAAAGCCCCAGGGTGGACGTGGGCTTTTTGTTGTTGTTCAGCTTTCGGGCTTGGGGGCATAGGGTCTATATAGGGTTTAGGGTTTAGGGTTGGTTCGCATAATCTTCCGCGAGGAAGTCATACGGTTGAAGGTGCTTGCGCACGGCTAAACCCCACATAAACCCTGAAACCCTAAACCCTGAATTGTCGGGGCTTATTTGGACCCTGCTCTCCCCAAGGTGGCAAGCGGCGAATGGCCCGGCGACCTCAACCCTTGGACAGAACCATCACCGACTCTCTCAGCAACAGGGCTTAGGGCTTAGGGTTCAGGGTTTAGGGGATCCCCAAACCACAAAAGGAGATCCCAGACTTCTCGTAGAACAGCTGTTTTTTCTTTCTAAGCTCCTTGGTACACTTCTCGTTTAGGGTTTCGGGACTCCCAGCACTTGACTCAACTCCCGAGAAACCGCCAGACATCCGAGAAGCAATGCTTGGCTGCAGCAGCCTGTCGACCGGCCTGGAACCAGTGAGGGGTCCATGCGCTCTTCACAGGGGCTCCGAAACTTACAAGCGATGCAGGAAACCAAGCTACTAGAATAAGTAAACCCTATATTGTGTAGTGTATATCCCCATTCTTCTAACTTTGAAGGCTTAATTTAAGCTAAATTCCTTGACCGCAACCCAGGTCGGGCGATGACGAATCCAAGGCGACGGCGCACTAACTTGGCTGAAAACACAGCAACTGAGTAATGATTTCATTCAGAAAGGTGAACCACGCTTCATGAAGAGGACAATCATGCCGTTTGGCATCACCACAAAGGTCTGAATCCGTTCATCCTCGCCGCAAGAAATGACTTCGTTGCCTGCGCTGGACGTGCCAAAGATCTTGGAGATCCGGAGCTGCTTTTTGCCGACTAAATAAGTGACGACGCCGTTCAAGCAGTGCAAGTTGCTCAATGCGTCGTCCTCGTCGTCCTCGTCCTCGTCATCTGGCGACGGGATCCTGATCGACTCCCAGGGCTGCGTCCTGTCTCCTGGCGTGTAGTCCTCCCACCCGGGCGGCCGAAGGCTGTCGACCACCGTCGCGCCAGGGGCCGTCTTTGCAAACTGCAAGCCTGGTGCATCGCCAGGACCGACGACAAAGAAGGATGCATCCTCACCACTGGCGACCAGCACCCCGAGCGCGCTGTCGTGGCTTAAGCTGCCCCCCAGCCCGACTGCCTGCGACTTGATGTAAGCGTTGGGCCGCGTGTCCGCCGGTGCAGCGGCATTGATCAAGTCGCACTCGTCTCTGAGCGCCACGATCTCTGCGATATTGTAGCATGTTGTCAAGAACAACTTACCAGTCTTGGGCTCGGCCACCATGTCATTGACATCGTAATTGGTTGCCCAGCGCACAATCTCGCCCGTCTGCAGGTTTAATCTCTGTATGACACCCACGCCCCCGAGGTAGTCGTTCTGGTTCCAGGCCAGGGCGGCAAACTCGTCACTGTAAACAGCGATGCTCATGTGCAGATAATGATTCCACTTTTCAGGCCAAAAGTCCGCTGTCCCCGTCCTCGTGAGTTCCAATATCTCGTGAGCTTCGAGGATCTCGGATCGATCCGAGAACTGTTCCAAGGTTCCCTGCAACAAATCCATGCTAGTCACCGGAAAGGTTCTGACGAGCAACGTCGCCGAATCCAAAGACCAGCCATCTGCAGCCTTCACGCGCCAAATCCAGATCGGGCTGCGCAATCCTCCATCGTTACCGACGACAAGGACTTGGTCGTCCTTGCTTGAGGTTATGTTGCCTGTGCAGGCCAAGAGCAGATCTTCGCAGGGCAGCGCCGCCGCTGCGAGGACGTCACACGCGCAGTGGAAGCACAGGCGCGGCAACTTCAGGACAGAGAGCTGCAGCTCTGTGGCTCCTGGCTCCAGCGATCCGAGCACTTCCGTCTTCTGCACAAGCCGGCTCCCAAGAGGAAGCGCAAATCCGTCCAAGGCGATGCCCCCATCGCTGCCGTTACCTCTGGGCCCAGCTCCTCAAGCTTGCTGGCAGCGCTCCGGCTCACGACCGTGATCAAGTCCCCCGTGGAGGAGTTGAAGATTTTTAGGGTGAGCATGTCCACCGAGGACGCCATTGCGGGCTCTACCCAAACTCAACGGTACCCTAAACCCTCAACCCGAAACCCTAAACCCCAAACCCGAATACACAAGGGGAGGACGTTTAGGGCTTCCTTGTTCCTATGTTCCGAAGCCAACGCCCGCTAGGTATCAAGCCTTCGAAACCTACAAAGGGCGCCTCTTTTTCAGGCCAGAGGCCCTTCATGTAGAAGCCTAATGGGGTTTAGGGTTTAGGGTTTAGGGTTTTAAAGAGCTACTGAAATTATTCCTTCGGGCTCCTTATCATCCGTATACTAGAAGACAAACCCTAGTCTAACTACTAAGGCTGCTATACTAGAGGTTCTGCCTCTAGTATCGTCAAAGCAGGCGGGGGGAAAAGGCTTGCGGCTTCACCGGGTACCACCACCCTAGAGCAGAACCCGTAAATCCCAAAGTGTAGACCCCAACCCCCCAAAACCTTAGATCTTAGATCCCAAACCTCAAATCTTAAACTTGGCCCCAAACTCGAACACCGAACCCTTTCAACCCAAACCCCACACCCAAAGCCCGATAGAACATATGTGAATATGTATAGCCTAGACAATTACCAACACTATTTTTGGGGTTCCAAGTTTACTTCTGGTACAATGTACCCCAAAACCCTCTTCTAATTATTAAGCTCCCCGTACTAAACCCTTGTGGTACCCTAGTATCCCTTAAAGGGACGCTTTGAAGGCCCCTACTCTAATTATTTGAGAGCCCTTTCCCTAAACCCCAGAACCCAAAACCCGAAACCCTAATTATTCAAATTTAGGACCCCTAAAACCCTAAACCCCAGAACCCAAACCCGAAATCTTTACGACCCCTAAACCCTAAACCCTAATTATTTACGACCCCCTACATTTGCTCTTCGCCCTCCCATCTCCTGACCTCATCGACCTCGCCGGTCAGCCGATCGACCTCCGCCCTGGCGCGGAGCAGCTTGCCGCCTGGGCTCGAAGGGTTCTATAAGGGATCTAGATGTACATACGGGTTTAGGGTTTAGGGGTTT